GTTTAGTTGTGAGGATTTTCATTTTGTTTATGTTGAGGTATAATTCATACTATAGACTGTAGTCTTTCATATTCATCATTAAGTGCTTCAAGTCATCTTCACTTTCAGCAAGCATATCACAGGTGGTTAATGAGTCTTCCTCCAATCCCAATGCCATGCTGCTCTTCAAGTATTTCAACTTCTTCGATTATTTGCTCAGCATGCAGATTGAATAAGTATGGTGAATGGATACAACCATAGCACTTACCATTCCTGACTTTAAACCATGCAGTGTCCCTTTGTTCTGTTCGAATGACAGCCTCCTGGTTTATGTACAAGTTCCTCATGAGAACAATTAAATGTTCTGGAATCTCGATTCTTTGCAAAGTTATCCATAATTTGTCATGATCCACCAAGTTGAATGCTTTTGCATAGTCAATAAAACACAAGTAAACATCCTTCTGGTATTCTCTGCTTTCAGCCAAGATCCATCGAACATTAGCAGTGATATTCCTCATTCCATGTCTGAATCTAGCTTGCATTTCTGCCAGTTCCATGTCAAAACATTGGTGCAACCATTTTTGAATTATCTTCAGCAAAATTTTACTTATGTGTGATATTAATGATACTGTTTGACAATTTCCACATTCTGTAGGATCACCTTTCTTTGGAATGTGTACAAATATGGATCTCTTGCAGTGAGCCAGGTAGCTGTCTTCTTCCAAGTTACTCAGTATAGACAAGTGCCTCTAGCTCAGCATCCATTTGTTGAAATACCTCAATGCATATTCCATCAATAATGATGTCTTGTTTTTCACTAATTTCTTCAGTGCAGCCTCAACTTCTTCCTTCAGTACCATTGGTTCTCGATCATATGGCACCTCTTGAAACATATGAATATCAACCAATTCTTTTTGATAGTGATTCTGTGTATTCCTTCTATCTTCTTTTGATGCCTCCTGCATCATTCAATATTTTGCCCAAAGAACCTTTCAATACTGCAACTCAAGGCTTCAAGTTCTTCAGTTCTATCACTTTTGTTCTTCTCTTTTGGTTTTCTAAATCCAAGTCTTTGCACATTTCATTATAATTGACTTTGTCTTCTCTTGCTGCTCTTCAAAATCTTCTGTTCAGCTCTTTTATCTTGTCATTTCTTCCATTTGCTTTTGGTACTCTCCATTCATGAGCAAGTTTCAAAGTCTCTCTTGATATTCATTTTGGTGTTTTCTTCCTTTCCTTTCTTTTTAATGACTCTTTGCTTTTTTTCATGTATTATTTTCTTGATATTACCCCACAACTCCTCTGGTTGTTGCTGATATATGTCATCAAACTCACACAGACTCAAAAGACAACAAAGTACAACAGAACAAAACATTGCCTAGTCCTGGAACATCCTCGCAATCTTTCCAGTGCTTGAGCCCATCACTGCAGCCCCTATGTCAATCCATCTCATTGAGGGTCTTCCCCTTTTTCACTGACCCTCTAATTTACTGAGCATGTGACCTTTCTCCTGGGATTGGTCCCCTCTGATGACACGAACAAAGTATGTGAGATGAAGTATGGTAATTCTTGCTTCTAAGGAACATTTTGGCTGTACTTCTTTCACGACAGATTTGTTTGATCTGGCAGCATGGTATTTTCAATATTCTTGGCCAACACAATTCAAGTGTATCAATTTTTTAAACCATGTTGTTTAAAATTTGGAAAGGTTTGCACCACAGTTGTGTCCTTTTACCATGTTTATTCAATCTGTATGCTGAGCAAATAATCTGAGAAGCTGGACCATATGAACACAGTATCAGGATTCAAGGAAGACTCATTAATATCCTGCAATATGCACATGATATAATCTTACTTGCTGAAAATGAAGACTTCAAGCACTTACTACTGCTGAAGATCAAAGACTACAGACTTAAGTATGGATTATATCTCAATATAAAGCGAACAAAAATTCTGACAACTAGACCAATAAGCAATATTAAGATAAATAGAGAAAAGACTGAAATTGTCAAGGGTTTCCTTTTACTTAGATCGACAATCAATGTCCATGGAAGCAGCAGTCAAGAAATCAGATGACATATTGCACTGGCAAATGTGCTGCAAAAGATCCCTTTGGAGTGTTGAAGAGCAAAGATGTCACTTTCAGACTAAGGTGTGTGTGACTCAAGCTATTGTATTTTCAATTACCTTATAAGCATGTGAAAACTGGACACTGAATAAGGACAACAGAAGACAGATGCATTTGAATGATAGTGTTGGTGAAGAATACTGAAAATCAAGCTGAGCTTCCTGTATTATCCATTCTAGAGTTTTATATCTCTGTGTTCTTTTAATCATATAATCTTGCTTCTATCCTCAATTCCCACTCTACTGGAATCATTTTCATCAAGAGAAGAAGTTACAATCTATTTTTTAGATGCTTTTCATTTTTTTTTAATCTTATGAGAACATCATGGTGCATTTGACACTAGAAATAATCTTCTGTTAAAATTCTTTTAATCCCATGCTCTCAGGATATCATGATCTCATATCTTTATTTTTTCCCTTTCTCCATGGCTGCTTTTCCAATCTTCTATTATTTTGCTAATCTAGGATTAATTGTTGATTCAAGGAATCTATCCTCAATTCTTTTTTCTTTCCTTATCTACAAAATATTTGGGGTAACTCCATCTAACTTCATCTCCTCAACAACTTCATTATGTTTTCCCCCAGGTTTTAATTTATAAAATTACACATGGACACACACACACACACACACACAACATACATATATGCATATACACATATATTGCACATATGCATAGACAAATCAAAATAAGAAAATTAAGTCTCCCATCTCCTCCATCTCATCCCCAAACCCCAACATATTCTTCATCTTGTTCCTCTATCTTAATGTACAGAATTGCCTTCTTCCTAACATCTCACAAATCAAACTTTTATTTGTCATTCATGATAGTAAAAAAGTTGTATGGATACATATACATACACACACATATATATAAAATTATTTTTTTTAATCATGATCTCTTTCTGAGAACATGCTATTGTTTTGTGCCCTCAATTCCTTACTACATTTTTCATGATTCCCTATCTTCTTTTTTGGTACATCCCTCCAGTGTACCCCACAATCCCAATGATGACAGCCTGATCTAAGATACAGGTCCGTTGGTGTTAACCACCATGCTTAAAAATATAAATACCATCCTCCCAATTGCCTATAGGGATTTTATAACGATATATGAGACCTTATATTAACTGGCCTAACTCTCTTGACTCTTTTATTAACATTATGTTCAAACACTAAGTTCTGGTCACATGCAACTATACAGAATTCCCTAAACAATCTTCTTATGACCCTTCACCTCAACACAATTTGTTTTTCTCTCTTGGAATCTTTTTCTCCTTCTGAACACTAGCTCCTATTTTATCTTTAGGCTTAAGGCACCATGTTTCACACACAAAGTCCTCTGTGACCACTGCCAGACTGGATGAAATTTATCCCATACCTTGAACACCTATTGTAACCCCTGAAGCTCTCTACGATAGAATTTTGTACAATGAGATGTAGATATGTGTTCACCTTTTGTCTTTCATCCATAAATCTATGAACTGTAAGGTAAGAACTATGTCTTTTAATCTGTATATATCCAGGACCTACACAATGCTTTGATGAACTCAGTAGGTATTCAGTAACCAAGTGCTGAATGCAAGAATAAGCAATTTCTATAAAAGTCAACTGTTACTAAGTTTCTGACAGATTACGCACCTAGGTGAGTAAATTTTTAATAGAAGGTACTCAAATAAGTTAATGTAATATGAATTTGAACTCATTTTGTTTTCACATAAACTAAAATAGTTTTCTCGGAAGGAAGGTTGGGCAATCTACTTCCATAGTTATACTGCCTCAGAAATCCAAGGAGGGGTCACTATGCGTTATCCAAGAACTGTTGTTAGGTGCTTTTGGTGGTAGAGGTTGTGTGTCAAGTTGGCTGAGCTTGATTTTGAGTGGCTGGACAGCTGGATGTAGTTATTCCCCATAATGAGATTATAATCACCTCCATGGTGGAATCTGCTGTGAGCTGTTAAGTAGTTGCCTTCAGGGTATGGCCTGCTTCCAGTATATAAGGAGAAGCTTTGAGAAAGTTCTCTAGCTTTTTGGCCTATTTGGCACTGCATTTGGCTGAGTCTCCATCCAGTGGCCTGCTGCATTGCTTACCAACCTTGGAATTGTTACCAGATTTGAACCAGTGATCGGTCATGTTGCCTGCTGATCTTGGCACTGTGCCATTTTACCTGCCAACCTTGCGTTTGTCAGCCCAAGCAGCCAGCAGCTGTCTGAGATAGGAGATACCTCCAGCTCCGCTGGGCCTGGAATAAGAGGCAGAGCTGAAGCCCATGGTGGAGGGGATTTTACCTAGCCCCTAGAGCCAGCACTCTGAATTTGGGCTTCTAGACTCCTAAACTGTAAGAGAATAAATTCCTGTTGTGAAATCCATCCACTTGTAGTATTTCTGTGATTGCAGCACTAGGCAGTGCTGTCAAGTCAATTTTGACTCTTAGCAACCCCTAAGAACTAGCTACTCAAATTCATAAAAATAAACAACAACAGAAAGAGAACTTAAACCTGAAACTCATTTTTTGAACTCAGTACTTAGTAAATCCAAACCTTGACACTACAGGCTTACATTTTTTAAAAAAGGTCTGTTGTTGTTGTTGTTATGTGCCGTCGAGTCGGCCCCAACTCATAGCGACCCCTCCTTGGGTTTCCGAGGCAGTATCACTACGGAAGTAGGATTGCCCAACCTTCCAAGACTGCTGTCTTTTTGTTGTTGTTTTAATTTTATTATGCTAATATAATGTATTAGCATAATAAAATTAAAACCCAAGGAGGGGTCGCTATCGGGTCTGACTCGATGGCACATAACAATAACTATATATGTATTTTTTTACCATTTAAACCATTTTTAATGTAATTCAGTGACATTAAGTGAATTCATCACACTGTATAACCATTTCATTACCTATTTCCAAAAGTTTTTCATCAACTGAAAAGAAATTCAGAATCTCTTAAACAGTAACTAATCATTTCCCTTTCCCCAGCCTCTGGTAACCACTAATAATAATAAATTCTTGTTTCTATGCATTAGCCTATTATAGATATTTCATGTAAGCGGGATCATATGATATTTGTCCTTTGTGTCTGATATATTTCACTCAGCATAACATGTTCAAGGTTCATCAGACTTATTCCTCTTTCTGACTGAATATTTTGTATTGTTTATCCTTTCATCTGTTGATGGGCCCTTAGGTTGTTTCTATTTTTTGCTATTGTGAATAATGCTACAATGAATATTGATATATAATGAACATTGTGTCCCTACTTTCAAGACTTTGGGGAATATACATTGCAGTGGAATTGTTGGGTCATATGGTTAATTCCATGTTTAACTTTTTGAAGAACTTCCAAGTTATTTCCCACAGAGGTTGCACCATTTTACATTCCCACAAGCAATACTTGAGGGTTCAGAGTTCTCCATATCCTGTCCAACACTTGTTATTTTCCATTTCTCTGATAACAGCCATTCCAGTAGGTTTGAAGTGGTATATCATTGTGCATTTTTTAACTTTATTTTCTTGTTCTTCAGAATATACAACAGAATATACACCACTTCAACGTACAATTCATTGACTCCTTTCTTTGAGTCGTGCAACCATTCTCACCTTCCTTTTCTGAGTTTCTTCTGTCATTAACATAAGCCCACCTCCCTCTAAGATTCCTATCTAATCTTTCAAGCTTTTATTGTTAATTGATCCATACAGACAGTTCTTAAGAAATTATAATGCTCAAGGCATACATTTTACACTAGTCAAGGTTAACTATTGTTTGATTTGAATACAACTTCATGGATAATTTTGGTTTAAGGTTTAAAGATTATCTCAGGCTAATAGTTTCAGGGGTTTATCCAACCTCCATGGCACCAAAGAATCTAGAGTCCCTGAGAATCTGAACTTCTGTTCTACATCCCCCCCTCTTTGGACTAGTTTTCTTCTATAAGCTCAAAATGAAAATAACTTCTACCTTGAAAGCCCTGAGCTAGCCATGTGTACTGGGTTTTTCTAGGTTCACATCAAATCTTCTCTTTTATACGTGCTGATAAAATTGGGACTTTCCTTCATGTTCTGCTCATTTAAAAGAAAAGAAAAGGAAATATAAACAGTCTTCATCGGCTTTATTACTTTAATATACAAGTTAATTTTCCTTGTGCTAGAGTGTATGAAATTTAGTTGAAAACAACCTAACGCTTACTGATTTTAAATTCAAATCAACACTACAAGGAAATTTCTGATTTATCTAGAGGAATATTAAATTGACTACACTGAAGTTAGTCAAGTTATTTAATCATTTTCCAGTTTAAGACCCTAGGCAACTATGAAATAACATCATGTGACAACTGCCGATGAGGTTATGCTCTTGCTAAAACCTAACATGTGCAATTCACATATGCCTGCAAAATGCAAGTATTCTAAGACTGAATGGCTGTAATAAATGAAAATGATAACCTTCTTTCTCTCTCATTGTCAAATAAACAGATGATTATGCTGGTAAGAAAAATATAAACAAACTATCATAGGAAGGAACTTCATATAGTAATATTCACCTACGTTATCACATACATATTTGGAAATAATATATAATACCCACCTAAACACAATGCACCTGGACATTAATGATAATTGTACTTGGATTACATATAAAATAAATGAAACAGTTAAAATGGGATTACCCCAGAATAGAAGAGATTAATATACACAGATATAATTTCCAAAAATTTTCTTATAGCATTTATTTTCTAAGATTTTGTTACATGCCAGTTTACTGTTAATTTTCCATACTAGAACAGAAAATCATGACTTTAACTTTTTACCATCTTGCTATAAAGACCACTGGCTGGCATACAACAGACACTCAATAAATGAACTAGTAACACGATATTTCACTGTAACACTCCCACTGATCACAACTGCTTTTCCAATTAAAAACACCCAAAGATGCTTCTGCTATCATGAAAGCAAAAAAAGTTAAGAGGGCTTTCAAAATACCTATCGGTTTATTTTATTTCACATTCGTAATCTAAAGCAATGACACTTATCTACACATTTAAAGATAATACAACATTTTATATTAAACATATACTTAAACTTCTGCCTGTTGGATTAAGCAGATTATAAAAAGAAATAATTTAAAGGATTCATAGTAATTTTTTAAAATGAGGAATAAAGATTACTTTACATGCATCTCCAAAAGATTTCTATAGCATATTAAAGTAAAATGAAGGTAGAAATGAAGGTATATATCAGAATTTTTTTTTTACTTGCAACTATTGGTAAAAATATCTGTTATAAATATATCTAACATTAAAATTATGATTGCTTCTTAATTTAAATATGTGGCAATAGCATGTTGAATGCACATGTACATACGCACACACACATTTTATGCATGCACATGAAAAACAATTTCTTTTATACATTACTGCATAGTTTATACTTCTTAAAACACGCTTACGATATTGAATTACTATGGGCTTATTTTTTAGATTTGTATTCTCTGAAAAAATAGTCTTTAGTCTACAAATTTTAACATAAATGGTTTATAGTATAGATTCTTTCAATACGCTACTTAAAAAATGCTATGCATGAAAGGAAGAAGGAATGGTAGATATCACTATAAAATGATACATTATATATTCTGAATGGGTATTATCCGGAGAAAGAAGAGCAGTTAGCTGAACAGTGGCTACATGTTTTTATTTTCCACTAGTGTACTTTACAAATATAAAGGACTTTAATTCGGTCCCACAGAAGTATCACTTAAAAAATTTAAGAATGATACTGAGTTCTAGAGGTTGAGTTAAAACCCTGTGCTACTTACCATACTGTGTAACAAATGCTATGCAGCTGTTCACGATAATGGGAACGTCACTTTTGCTGAGCTGCTGATCTTGTAACGCATTACCATCTGTACCTGCTGCTTTCTCAATTGCAGTATGCCAGACTGTGAAATCCAACTTGGTATGCCCATGGATGTACAATGTCCTATAAAGTTTAAAAAGCATTTCAAATTACATACATATATATATATATATACTTTTAAATCTCACTTCAAGACAGATTATACTTAAACACATATAAATGTGCTCTTGTCTCATCTGTCATAAGAAAAACTCCTCCTATACCCTCCATCTACTGCTAGCTCCAACTACAACTCTTTTTTTGCCTGTTTAGTCACGTCTCTCCCTAAAGTAGAGGAATTTGTGATCTTACCTTCTTTCATTACCCAATCCCTGTTATTCTGTTTCTGAAAAATTGAACTGAAACCGTTGTGGCAACCATTATCAGTGACTTCTAATGGATATTGCTCACTGCACTTTCCAACATTTTAGAACTGATGATGATTCTAGTTCTTAAAAAGAGGAAAAAATTACCAACCAATTTGGCTTTTAAAACACAATTCTTCCTGTCTTTTCCTCTTCTCTTTCTGGTTACTCGCTTTGGTTCCCAAGATTATTTTCTTTTCTAATTAACAGGGTGGTAATCAAGGTACTCACAAACTCCAAGGACTCCTCAGTGACATGTCATGACTGCTAACCAGGAGGCTGGCAGTTCAAACCCACCAGCCACTCCTTGGAAGGAAGATGGGGCAAACTACTTTCATAGTGATACTGCCTCAGAAACCCAAGGAGGGGTCGCTGTGACTCGATGGCACATAACAACAATAACATGTAAGGTAATGATTCCCAAATCCCTATCTTAAAGCTTTAAATGTCACAGATCAGATCTGTATGTGATTGAAAGGCCAGTGGTATCACTAGATGGGTGTGGGGGGATGGGAGTGGCCCATAATAACTGACACTGTCAGAGGAGGTTACACCAGAATGACTGTTTATGAACTTATTGGGTAGTATTTCAGTACAAATTTATTATTTTTTAAATAAAAATACCCTTATAGTTAATTATAACAACAAAAACATTTTTATAAGCCCACCTTACATGTATCAATATACCTAAAAGGCTAAAACTCTATGCTAGTCTACCTTTTGAACCTTCTAATTCACTCCAAGGAGCACTGGTAGCACAATGGTCAAAGGGTTTGGCTGCTAAGTGAAAGGTTGGTAGTTCAAATTTGCCAGCGGCTCTGGGGGAGAGAAACGTGGAAGTCTGCTTTCATAAAGATTTACAATTTGGAAACCCGATGGGGCAGATCCTATAGGGTCAGTATGAGTCAGAATCGACTTAACTACACACAAAAACATCAACAGATAAAAATTTTTATTTGAAATATAAATTAATTGCTGATCTATTTAAAGTATATTTACACCAAAGTAAAAGGATTTAATCTTGCTTTCAGATTATGAGAGAGCACTGTGGATTCAATCCTAAGAAAAAGGAATGAGTAACATGGGCTCTGGGGCCTTTGTTCAGTCTTCCTTTTTTTTTTTAGTAATCTATTTCTATTGTTGATAATTCACTGTCTTATTTTAAAAAGAGGGAGCTCTGGTAGCATAGTGGCTAAGACACTTGCCTGCTAACCAGATGGCTGGCGGTTCAAACCCACCAGCCAGTCCTCGGAAGGAAGGTTGGGCAATCCTACTTCCGTAGTGATACTGCCTCGGAAACCCAAGGAGGGGTCGCTATGAGTCGGGGTTGACTCGACGGCACACAACAACAACAACAACATTTTAAAAAGAAACAAAAATCCTCTTGTTGTTCCTGTTTCCTCTTCTTCAAAAGCTGCAAGCACCTCCCCACACTTATTCTAACATCTTCAAACTTGTTAAAGCTGCTACTTGTTTTCTGACAATTGTGTCTATAATTCTCATTTCTACCTTTTTAACATCTTTATTGTTTTTACTTTCCACACAACAGCAGCCTGACCTCGTGGTTCTGTAATTTTCATTCTGAAGAATTCTGACACTTGCTCTAATACTCCTGACATGTTCCAGCCTTTTCATTTACCTTACATTACCTTTAGCTCAAAAGCATTCTGTTGTTCGGTGTATTTGTCTAAATTAAATGGTATAACTAAAGTAATTTCCCTGAAAAACATCACGCCACTCCATTACATAGACTTAATTAAAATTACATCGTGCCAAGTCTAGGAGCTTAGGTAAAAAGAAAAATTTAATTTCTTATGCCTTTTTTGCATAGATTTTTTTTTTTTACCTAGTAATTAAGCTCTAAATATAATGCAAAACCTTTAACACTGTTTGCTTATAAATATCTAGAGTGGGCGAGTATTTCAGCAAGCAGAAAAAGTAATCCAAAAATGCAATGGTCCTCCTACAATATCAGCAAAAATCTCCCATTAGCTGTGAGCATTTCAAACTTCACATTTTCTTTCTAGTCCCATGATGATAGGTTTAACTGTCTCTGTGTAAAATAGCGAGGGAGAGAAGGAGTAATGACAAGTTAACTCTTGAGTCGACTTGTCAAAGAGTGAATCCTAAAATATATTACCTAGCGCCATAGATGTCTGACATTTAATTCCATCAATTCAACAACTTCTTTCCTGTTGCTTATCTAAACCCTGGGCAGATTAAATATTAAAAGACAGTGTCAATAAAATTGCTGGACTACTTATTGATTTCAAGTGTTATAACCATCTTACATTTGTGGATAAGAATCCCAAAGAACCATTCATTTACATATTGAAAATCTTATTTTGATGAAGAAGTGAATTATTTTAATTATCCAATTCCTAAGGATGAATTTTAAAAGGTACTTCAAAGCCATATATAGGAAAAATCCCTATATCCTATAATGAATCAAGATAGTTCACTAAGACATATATTAAATCCTAAGACTAATAAAACAATTCTGCCAAAATTGTAATATAATAAATACAAAATATGCACCATATATTTGAGCCTAGTCTCCTGAAAGAAAAAAATAGAAATGTCTATAAAAATAAAAAGTCAATAAATCTGACTGCATAAAACGTACTTATGGCAGTCAAGAACATTTTAAACAAATCTAAAAATTAAATAATAAACTCCACAAATATGACTGAAAAAGATATATGCTAAACATTTATACAAAAAACACTCCAACTGAAACAGGATCATCAATTATGAAAAGGTAATTCACAGGGGAAAAAAAAATGTCAACAGCCAATAAATATAAACCAGTCTAACAATCAGAGACATATTAAAAAAGCAATATATTAAATAGAAATTTATCAGATATTTAAATGCATAATGTTCACCCATAAAGAGTGCAGAACTGGAACATTATTTTACAGACTGATTATATATTCTGAAAAGGGATTTGACAATATGTACAGTGAATCTTAAAATATGTATGCACAACTTTTGACAAGTGATTCCAACCATAGGATTCTACCCTAAGGACATAATTTGAATATTTTAATATC